ATATGCCGCTGAACTTGGTCACAACACCATATGCCGCAAATCTGTCTGTGCAGCGAGCACTACAGCAGTTGCAGCCAATGCACTTGACTGCCGTGGCCGCTGGTAATTCTCTTGGCCCTGGCTGATGGACTGAAGGCCTTGGAAATGCAGAGTCGGCACCATTGACTTCATAATACTTTATACGAAGCTATGAGCTGAATATACAGTACATATTACATAGCTGACTGGGACCCTTGGAGGCAAGAACCTAAGGCTTGATCGCGAGATGATGTGAGTATCTCCTAACCCTTCAATCTTGAAACTGAACCCTTGAATAACAGAGATGCCCCAGTTCAAGTGAGTTGATATGCTGGATTGTCTACAGACCTTTGGATGTATGCTCTGGGCCCTTGGAAGGCAAGCGCATGATGGTTTTCACGAACCAACGGCGTATTGCAACAAAATTGTGATTCTTTTTGCCATGTATTGTATAGGACAAAATCCCTTACAATACACCCTCGGTTTGCACGAACCAGAGGTGTATTGGCTGAAGGTCAAAGTCAAGGAATGTCTACAAGCTGAGAGGCATGAAATGGTCTCCTTTTTTTCACTCTCAATAGACCTTCGGTTTGCAGCATGCACAAACGAATGTATTCCTTGGGTCTGGAAAAGTGGAGCCCGCTGAATTTTCAAGAGCTGGTGCCAAGGACCTTTGACCCTGGACCATAAACATAAGCATTGGCAACCAGTTTGCTTGCTATCTGTGGCTAGCTTTGCTGGTTAATTGCTTTGCCCCAAAAGAGTTAGTCCCCAAAGACCGTGGCTGCACCAACCTGCGGATGGTTCGCAAGAACCGCCACACATCTTCCCACTGGCGCAATGTGAAGATCTGCTGTCTTTTGCAGCAAGCCCTGCCCGGAAGCTGACCTAATGCCACTCGCCACTTGGACTTATCTCTTTTCTCGCAAGCTATCAGGGCTTCACTGGATTGGTCAGCAAAGCCAATAGCAAGTCTTGACTGTCTCAGGTCATTAAAAGACTATATTGAATCCTAGGGAAAACATCAACAAAAACCAAAACAAGAACAAGGAAACAGCAGCAGCAGTAGCTGCGAGTACAGCTACAACAAGAACCACATTTACAACAGCAGCACAGGCAACAAAGAGCAGCAGCGACAAAACCACAACCACAACCACAATGTCAAAACGGTGGGGGGACATGACCAACAAAAACAGCTACAAGAACAACAACATCAGCAACGACACCAACAGCAAGAAAAAAAACTAGTTTAACCACCAACAGCCAGAGCAACCACAGCAACAACTGCAAAATAACAGCCAAAAGAAGAACCAAGAATAACAAGACAGGAGGGAACATTAATAGAGCCACAATGTGGCAAGCACAGCAGTCATGGTCAGCAAATCCAGCTATTCGATGCCTAATTATTGTAGTAGGAATCTGATCTACAAGCAGTCTGCCAAACAAACAGAATGACCCCATGAATTGAACGCAGAGATTCTGGGCAATTGCATCTCTCAGCTGGATGCCAGTGGAGCGTCCATGCACAGCTGGGCTAAAATGAAAAGCGGGCCCTGGACCGTGGACCGTGGCTTGTGCCAAAATAAACTTCGCATGATTGGCCAGTGACATGACGACAACCATGAAAACTGCTGCAAATTGAAACGTGCTGACAGCTGCTGCTGCTCAAGTTCAACTCTCTCTTAGGCTTTGGCTAGCAATGGACTTTGCAATCAACAGGGCGTGCAGGCACAGAAGCCTTCGGGTGCTTCGAACAAGGTGACCGATGGTACTGGCGCAAGCTGCAAATCCACCAGAACATGGCTGTAGTTCGAAATTGATTCAAAATGCTATCAGCGATTGGTGGCCTTTGACTGCTTGAAGGACCGCCTTGCTTACCCTAAAGCAAAGATGGAAAACAAATCCAAACGCGACATGAGAAACAAAATCATTGGTAATCAGCATGGAGACGATGGCGCCTGACAAAACCCAAACAGCCGCTTTGCTGGCAGGTACCTGGCAAGATGCAGGGCTTGGAAGAATGTGATTCCAGCTAAAATGGAATATGGTGACCATGCACGCATGTCATAAAAGAGGGACATTTTGCGTTGTAAAAACCCTATTCTCCAATGGCCTTGCCTGCAAGCCGCGGTGCTCTGATCTGTGGGGAGTTGCCCTGGCTTCTGTGCTTCGGAAGCAGAAAAGCTAGCACATGTGGCAAGGAAAAAGAATTTTGACTGCCAAATGAAATGGGGCCTTGTCAAAGCAGGAAGCCACGCAGCCCAGCCTGAAGTTGGAAATCTGCTATTTATCTTGTCTGGAGTCTGAAACAAAAAGAGATGGAATAAAATGAGTTGATTGAACATGATTGAACACCAAGTTTGCCCGCACAACTCCGCCACTTCTGCCATTCGCACACTGCAATTTTTTTCATCCCGCAAAATGCTCTCCGGCGGTGGAAGAGGCATCGTTGATAGGATGCAACGCACCAGGCGCTTCAAATTTGCACGCCCACCCTCACACGTCTGTCGCACTTATTGATCGAAGCTTAAACTGGGGACGGTGGGCCATTGGACCTTGGACCATCGAATTGGGCATTGGACCTTGGAGTTATCACTCAACTAAATCTATTTTGACAGGACATGAAGGATCATGAAGGCGGAGCATGCGGCGATGCAGCTACTCAGTTCCATTGCCACCCGTCGTCAGCAGGCTGCGCAGCAGGGCCAGGCTGCGCACCATCTTGGCCTTGAGCTTGAGGGGCAGCCTGAGGAGCAGCAGGCTGAGGCCCACCAAAACCAGCTTCACCACCTCCTTGACCAGCCCCTTGACCAGCTTGACCAAAACCGCCTTGAAACTGATCTGGATTCGGCTGAGCAGCAGTCGGAGGAGTTGGAATTAAAGATGTTGAAGTTTTAAAGGATAAAAACCTGCCCATTGATCTTCAAATCTTTTGATTGAGGTCTAGGCTTCCAGGATGATGTTGGGTTGAACCGCGGACCTTGGACCCTGAACCTTGATCCTTTAAGGCAACAGAAGGGCGCGCAGGGAGCAGAAAAATATGTAGGAACTGTGAACCTAGTGTGGTATGATTCATTGATCAACAAGTCACCTTAAGTTCAAACCAGATTGGTCGTCTAGCTGGAGATCAATGAAAGCCAGGAAAAAGTAGTGTCAGCGATTGATGTTCTGTTGTCTGCGTGTCCTTTACATGTAGCAAAACAGAGCAACCAAAGAAACAACCCTCTTCCGTGATGCCCCATACTACCCCAACAGCCTTGCTGACATCCTCCATTGGTCAGAGCTCCTCAGCAAAGGACAGTTCCTGTGCCTACAGCGGGTCCTCCATCATCTCAACTTGTCTCAACATGTCTCAACTATGAGAGCTGGTGTAAACATTAAACATGTGTCAACAAGATTCTGCACTGTGACCAAATTCAAAAATACTGAAGGAACACTGAAAGGAATGCCAAAAGAGTGAGTTTGACAAGCTATGCCATGGTTCTTTGGCGTGTAAGGTATGCACCCTCACGGCAGCTTTCGTGGATAGACTTGAAGCAAGTTCCTGAAGGGTTTGCTGGCTCATGCAACCACAGGCAAGTCATGGCACATCATGGCACACTGTGCTCAAGGCTTCATCATGGCACACCATCAAGGCAACTGATGTTTTTTGTTTTAATGTGTACACACCGGCCCAATAGCGAGTCTTGAGTCTTGAAGTATAACGGCATAACTTATGCAGCATAACCTACAGTTCCTGTATATAGATTGCGAACCTAGTGCCAAGTTGAGATCCAGCAAGACCAGCAGTGCAGATTTTCAAGCTATCATGAAGTTGCCACAGGCCATCGAACTCGAGCCCTGCATCAGCCATCCCTCATAGAAGATATAGAAGCAGCATGAAATAGGTAGTCATGCCAGCGCTTCATAAGTTTTGATTTGCAACATTTTGCCCCCCGTTCAATCCCATCCCCACCGTGAGTCCGGCCTGATCTTGCTGGCCAGACCGGGCCAAAGGCTGCAAACGGCTTTCTACGGTGTTGGTATTACTTTACTATGCCCTGACCGGCCACTGAATCTTTAAAACAATTTCGAAGTTTTAAATCCATCTAAAAATCTATGTCTTGGTGTGTGCGCCCTCTGTTGGGCAAAACCAGGCCCAGTTTCTCAAACACTCTCGAATTAGTTGCCTGCTTCAGCTGTTACTCCTGTTTAGGCCAACACAGGCAGCTTTCATCATGAGTTTGTGAACTTTCCTCTTTGCACACGCTTTTTGAAGCTGGAGGTCGCCTGCATAAATGGTTCGACACAGCCCAACAGCCATTTGATTGCTGTCCTACTTGCCTCCAGCTAGCTAAGCTTGGCGAGCCATGAATCAAAATAGGCAATGGGAAGGCAGCCTCGGAAGGCAGTAGGGACTGTTTGGATCCCCTTGATCCGCTTGTGAATTCGTTTGCCTCGCGAAACATGTCTTTTGGCCAATCCTAACTATACAAATTACATCAAATTACAAATATATAATTATACAAGTTGAGAAACATACTATCATAGTAGAGTGGTGCGACCTTTCTCACACGCAATCTCCCAACAGTATGAAGAATCACAAAATTCACCCCCGCTCGTTGCAATCGAACCTGGCTAGGCATGCCGAAGGAGGTGGCTCGTTGTCCTCACCAGATTTTAACCAACGCGTTGCCGGAAGAATCCGAATCCTTAGGCACCAGTTTGAGGCCTGCTCACAGCAACTGAGTTGGCTGCTTCTAAGTGAATGAATGATGTTTTGAACACTGGAAAGTTGCGTATTGATTGAGAGAAGCAGTGGAAGCAGCACCAGCAATATAATATATAGTACTTGGATGTACTTGGGGTTTGGTTGTCTGTGTCATCAGCATGCCCTGTGATGGCTCTTTTTGTTCCCAAACCACGTACCAGTAACCGCAATTGGTCGCAGCTGACCGCCATAGAATCAGTCCTTTGAGACAGTTGCTCATTGTTGGGCAATGTCACGACGTTGCTTTCCTGAGCACAGCGCATGGACCTAGAGTTTGAAGCAAATAGCAGGAAGGGCATGTTTCACAAAACATGCCGGGACTCTCCAGTCTCCAGGCACCAAAAAATTGTCTTGAAGGATTGTGTCACGGGGTGCATATGCTCTCCATTTGGCTGCGCACATCCTCTCACTTGCTGCTCTTTCCCTGGGATCGAGCGATCGACCTATTCCGACGGGAGCTGTTGCCGGTGGACCCTGAAATTTACTTAGATTCACAGACCGCTACTCGCCAAAAGCCCTGCGGCCTGCAGACAAACTCAGATGTCTTGTGAGATGTTGTGAGAATGACAATGGCCTGCGTGTACCATGCAAGCCTCCATTGTGAAATTCTAAGGCCTAAGGGTAAACAACGCACAGTATACAATGACCAACTACATGCGCAATGTTTATTGTCAAATACTTGCGATCACGGAGCCTTACTTTCTGAAGTCTCTCCTGTGGGGCACGCTGTAACTTGTCACAAGGAACAATTTCACAACAACCAACTGCGTGACCCCAGGTGTCCACCACTGTCCACCACATACTCTGCTCGTCGCTCAGCATTACCATGTGCTGGAATTGCTTGTCTAAAACACCGGAACAATCCACAAGAGCCCCTGTTTTTCTCAAAGACCCAATCTTGCATCACATTAATCCATTTCGGTTCAAATTGCAACTGCTGGAACGAGACAGGTGAATGTCACTTCAAGCAGCATGCATCCTGTCTGTGTGTCCAAGCGTCCGCCACCGGTCAGTGTGAGTTGACATCTCTGAACACTGCAGCTCGCCGACTACCATCATATACCTCAATTGTCTTCAATGTATCAAAAAGTGTCCCTCACGCACGGCTCCGCGACAAGGACAGAATCTAGTACTCCTGCCCCACCCTTGCAGATGTTCCCCCATCCTGAAGAACTTCTGGCGGAAGCTTTTCGTCCTGCGGCTGTCATGGAAACGCATGATTTGCCAGCACTTTGAATATCTTCGAATATAGAAAACTGATCAAAATTTTCGAAGGAAGTTTAGAGGTCAAACTTCCGGCAATATGGACAGATGAAAAGCAGAGATGGGAAGAGTCAGAGAAGAGAAGAGAAGAGAAGAAAGAAGCTTAAAAAAAAAAGGCCTCAGAAGAAAGAAGATCCAGGTGCGCGAAACGGCAGGAAAGTCGCGAAAAACTGTTTTTTCCAATGATTTGTGGCTCCGGAGGGTCGAAAAGTAGGCTCGCTAAAAGCGGCGGGTGCGGAGCCAGCTGGTCAGATGAGAGATGAAAAATTGCGCGCCGTTTTGGCGCGAAGCACATTTCTAAGTCAAAATGCACAAAGCACACCAGGTCCGGACCACTTTTGGAAGTTATGATGATTAAACAGTGCACGCCGTTGTGGCGCGAAGCACATGTCCAAGTCAAAATGTACAAAGCACACCAGGTTCGGACCACTTTTGGAAGTTGAGATGATGAAAAAGTGCACGCCGTTGTGGCGCGAAGCACATCTCGAAGTCAAATGTACAAAACACACCAGGTTTGGACCACTTTTGGAAGTTATTGATGATGAAAAAGTGCACGCCGTTGTGGCGCGAAGCACATTTCCAAGTCAAAATGCACAAAGCACACCATGCTCGGACATCCCATGTACGGCTCGCTAGATGCTTTGCGGCCGACTTTTTACAATAATTACCTGGTAAACTGGATTGGTCACATGATTGGAGTCTATAAAGTGGAAATCCAACATGTTTTGGCCATAAATAAAGTCACAAGCCAACGTTGTATAAAGTCGCCTGGCCACGTAAAACATGTCGATGTGGGCTTTTGAGGGTAATTGTGAACGCTTCCCGTTATTATTAAGTGAGATGCCGAACATCCAAATAGTAGTACTTGTGTTGAACAGTGGCACTATAATGTGGGTTTCCTACCAAACAACGATCGTTGTAACATCGATGGTTAATTTTCTTAATTAATTACGTCGATGGAAGCATCGACATGATTGTGTATATAAAGTTGAGGGGCCACGTTCAAACTTTGTGGGAATATCATCGATCTCATCGATGGGGAACCCAAGAGCCCAAGAGACATCGAAACCGAAGAAAGCCGACAGCCAGTCAAATATCAATATCGAAGTCGTTAACAATATCGATGTATTCGCACTGCGTTTGAATACTTTCAGAAAGCAGGAATATTGAATATACCTGGGTTCTCATCCCCGTTTTTGCGAAATTAAATGGTATTATCCCCGAATGCATCTAAATGGTCTCAAAAGGGTTCAAAAGGAAGGTATGTTGGATATACCTGTTATCATCTCCATTTTTAGTAATTTGAAATAATTTAATGGTATTATCTCTGTTTGTGTGCACCTGAACGGTTTCAGAAAGTAAATCTGTTGAGTATAGCTGGGTTCTCCCGTCCGTTTTTGCTTCTGGATATTCAATGATATTCAGATACTCTCCAGAGGCCGAGCCCCCCTCTCTATAAAGTGGCCAGTCCAAGATCGACTGTTATTTTTTCAGGTGTTTTACATGGATTGGCCACTTTTCTACAGGGATTCTCTGCTCGGGAGCGGGATGAGGTATAAAGTGGCCGGTCCAACATCGACTGTCGTTTTACCTGGACTGACCACTTTATACAGGGATTCTCTGCTCGGGGGAGCGGGATGGAGCGGGTATAAAGTGGCCAGTCCAACATCGACTGTTGTTTTTTCGCGTGTTTTACCTGGACTGGCCACTTTATACAGAAATTCTCTGCTGGGGGGAGCGGAATGGGGTATAAAGTGGCTAGTCCAACTGTCGTTTTTTCAGTGGTTTTACCTGGACCGGCCACTTTATACAGGGATTCTCTGCTCGGGGGAGCTGGATGGAGCGGGTATAAAGTGGCCAGTCCAACATCGACTGTTGTTTTTTCAGTTGTTTTTAACCTGGATTGGCAACTTTATAGAATTATTCTCTGCTCGGGGGCTCTGCTCGGGGGAGCGGGATGGAGCGGGTATAAAGTGGCCAGTCCAACATCGACTGTAGTTTTTTCAGGGTTTTACCTGGACTGGCCACTTTATACAGGTTTTTTTGCTCGGGGGAGCTGGATGGAGCGGGTATAAAGTGGCCAGTCCAACATCGACTGTTGTTTTTTCAGTTTTTACCTGGACTGGCCACTTTATAGAGGGATTCTCTGCTCGGGGGAGCGGGATGGAACGGGTATAAAGTGGCCAAGCCAACATTACCTGGACTGACCACTTTATAGAGGCATTCTCTGCTCCGGGGAGCTGGATGGAGCGGGTATAAAGTGGCCAGTTCAACATCGACTGTCGTTTTTTCAGTGATTTTCCCTGGACTGACGACTTTATCCTCTATACTCTATACAAAGATTCTCTGCTGGGGGGAGCGGGATGGAGCGGGTATAAAATGGTATAAAGTTGCAAGTCCAACATCGACTGTCGTTTTTTCAGTTGTTTTACCTGGACCGGCCACTTTATAGAAGCTTTTGCCTGAATGAAAAATTAATCGATGTTGGTTGGACCATTGAAATCTTACATACTATACATACTGCAAGATTAAACAAACAAAGATGTAGCAATTTTCCCTCTATAAAGTGCTTTGCCATAATATATAAAGCTCCAGCAGAAAAATATTGGCACGAAATCATTGGGGAGACATGTTTCTCTAAAGTGGATGGCGTGGCATGTTATGGCCATTCTTTGAAGGGAACCAACGGTCTATAAAAAGCATTGCCACATATTGAGTCGTTTCCTTGTCGTTGTATAAAGTCATGTTCCAGGTCCAAGGGCGCATGTTTCTTGCGCAGAACACGGCTTTATCCCCCATGGTCGTGTATAAAGTGGCGACCGGAAGCCCACTTTATAAGCGCAAAGGATGTCCACTTCATAGAGAGCTATACATGGGGGATGCTCGGACCACTTTTGGATGTTGAGACGATGAAAAAGTGCACGCCGTTGTGGTGCGAAGCACATGTCCAAGTCAAAATGCACAAAGAAAAACAGGTTCGGACCTCTTTTGGAAGTTGAGATGATGAAAAAGTGCACGCCGTTGTGGCGCGAAGCACATGTCCAAGTCAAAATGTACAAAACACACCAGGTTCGGACCACTTTTGGAAGTTGAGATGATGAAAAAGTGCACGCCGTTGTGGCGCGAAGCACATGTCCAAGTCAAAATGTACAAAGCACACCATGCTCGGACCACTTTTGGAAATTGTGATGTCGAAAAAGTGCACGCAAGTGTGGCGCGAAGCACATTTCGAAGTCAAAAGTGTAAAAGCTGATAGGTTCGGAGCATTTTTGGACGTTTAGATATCGTTTCCCGTGGCAAGGGCAAGGGATTGTGCACCTCGTCAAAAGTGAGCAAAACGTGAGGGCTTTGTAGCATTTCTGAAAACGATGGCAGGCGTGGGACATTTGAAGATGATCTGCAAAGATGCATTTTCCGTGGCAGGCGCAGTACAAGAGACAGTTTCATCAGAGGTGTTAGGAGGTCCGGGCGCTGATTTCCTGAGAAGGATTCCATGTTGGAGCATCAGATCTTCAGTTCTGGGAAGATGATTTTGCGTGACAGGCGCAGCACTTCTTATGACCTGGCTTGACTTTTTCGTGGCACGCACAATACTTTAGACAGGTGGAGTGGCAAAATCGCAAAACGCATTGGTACAAGGCCGTCAGCACTGCACTCAACTTTCCATTTTTGAAGGAAGTCTAGTACAATTGGTTCGTTTTTGATGTTGTCAACTTCGAAAAATGAGGAAGTCTCCCAGAATTGTTTCGTTTTTGAGGTTGTCAAGTTCAAAGTCTCGCAGAATTGCTGCGTTTTTGATGTTGTCAAGTTCAAAAACTGATGAAGTCTCGCATAATAGCTTCGTGTTCAAGCTGACAGATAGACAGATGATAGATAGATAGACAACTACAACTGCAACTACCACTACACTACACTACTACTACAACTACAAGGACAAAAATAAAACACTACACTACACTACACTAATTA